CAATTAGATGGAGTGATTCCATAGAAGCATCCGGAGACATACCAGGCTTTATTACGAGAAACGACAATGTGCATAAGAGCAATTTATCAAAAAGTGACTTATCGGGAGAAGGAACAATCCTATCGACGTCTTTGTGAAAGTTGTTATTCGGAACAACACTTAGAAAACGTAGGAATTCATCAGATTTTTGACGAAATAAGAGAGTGGCATACATTATGTAAAGTTACCGAAGACAATAGCGAACTAAAACAACACTGTTTTGAGTGCAGGAAGATATTACTTACATTAAGACCGGCAATTCAATATGTAGAAGAGTTTATAAATAATGAAGAAACATTTTATTGGTTGGATGAAATTGACTTATTCAACTACGAAAATAATTAGGAGATATTTGTAAAAATGTGTAGGTGTAATAATATAGTTTAGATTAAAGATTTTATATTTAAAAAAATGTGAATAAAAAAACAGTTTTATATTTATGTTCTATAAAAATATTATATTCTTCTAAAAATGTGAATAAAAACAGTTTTACACTTAAATAAAAAATGTGTTCAAATTGTATAGAAATAAATATATATACAAAATATGTGTTTTTTATTCCTTTCCTCACCATAAAAAATAATTATCCAAAAAAAATAAGAATAAGATTCGTAATACCAGGTGTATGCATAAGTTTTTTCCGGCTTAACTAAGAGATGTCGCCAGCGAAAAGTACGCAGCGTATTAATTTGACACATACATCATTTTGTTCGTCTGACATTTAAAACTACAAACACACACAAGTTGAGTCCGCCAAAAACTAGCGTCTTTGTTTTATCGTTCAGTGATCATGTCGAGTTTTGTGCCTGAAAAAGAACATTTGCGGCACGCATTGCTTTTTTTATTTAATCAAAAGAAAAAGGCTGTTGAAAGTCATCGTTTGCTGGTAGAAACATATGGTGAACACGCTCCATCGATTAGAACATGTGAGACATGGTTTCGACAATTTAAAAGTGGTGATTTCAATGTGAAAGCAGTGAGCGCTCTGGTAGACCACAAAAATGCGAAGACGAGCAATTGCAGGAGTTATTGGATGATGACCCAACTCAAACTCAACGGCAATTAGCAGAAGCATTACATGTATCACAAGAAACAATCAGCAGACGTTTACGAGCAATGGGAAAGATCAATAAACTCGGTAAATGGGTCCCACACGATTTGAATGAACGTCAAATGGAAAATCGCAAAGTCACTTGTGAAATGCTGCTTCAACGCCACGAAAGGAAATCATTTTTGTATCGAATTGTGACGGGTGACGAAAAATGGATTTATTTTGAAAACCCGAAGCGGAAAAAATCGTGACTTTCACCTGGCGAAGCCGGTCCATCAACACCAAGGCCAAATCGCTTCGGCAAGAAGACCATGCTCTGTGTTTGGTGGGACCAGAGCGGTATTGTGTATTATGAACTCTTGAAGCCCGGCGAAACCGTTAATACACAACGCTATCGCCAACAAATGATTAATTTAAACCACGCATTAATCGAAAGACGACCGGAATGGGCCAGAAGACATGGCAAAGTGATTTTGTTACACGACAATGCGCCGTCTCACACAGCAAAACCAGTGAAAGACACCTTGAAATCGCTTGGATGGGACATCCTTCCGCACCCGCCGTACTCCCCAGACCTGGCGCCATCTGACTATCACCTCTTCACATCAATGGGGCACGCGCTCGCAGAGCAGCACTTCAGCAATTTCGAGGAAATTGGAAAATGGCTCGACGAATGGTTTGCCGCAAAAGACAAGCAGTTTTTCTGGCATGGTATTCATAAATTACCTGAAAGATGGGCGAAATGTGTAGAAGCCGATGGCCAATATTTTGAATAAAAAAAAATTAATTTCCCTTGAAAATTACGTGTCTTTTTTTACTAAAAAACCGGAAAAAACTTATGCATACACCTGGTAAGAAAGAGATAATAAGTATAGAGACAGCCGCAACGAGAGAGAGAGATAGTAGATAAAGAAAAAGAGAAGATAATACGAGACATGGCAGGATGGCGGCGGCAGCGGACAACGGTGACCCGGGGCCTCCCGCGCATGCCCTTATCATCGCTCCGTTGCAACACGATATCATCAGCAATTTTCCCTTTAAATTTTATTTTATAGCAGTCGAATTTATTGAGGTGGTCGAAACGACAGAAAGAATTGGAAGATTTTAAAAAATAAAAAAATACATAAAATATTAATATATTCTTTTTTATTGTTTTCTTCTCTATTAATTCAGTTGTAGTATATACTAGAAAAATATTCTTTCAAATTAAAATTTTATTTTTAATAAAATATAAGAATAATATCAACTTACAAAAATTAAGATTACTAATAAATTTTAAAAATTTGTTAAGAATATTTCTTATAATATCCTTTAAAATTTCCTAAAAATATTTTATATAACATTCTATATAAAGAGATTTAGGAAAGGACGATTAACTTTTACTATTAATCATAATTATTTTGACTCAGAATTTTTTTTTTATTTAAGTATGCATTCTATAAGATTACACGCAATGGATTTGATTATAACCAAATAAGAATAGAATATTTATTATTATATATCGTCTCGTACTTGACTCGGGAATCACCATTGCTTCATCACTAATGCTCTTCCAATTGTAACGAAGCGAATTGTTCCTCAAGTGTCTATAATGTAAGAAAAAAAAAATTACGAAATTTACTTTTTTCCACATACATAGAAAATTAATAAAATAAGTTATATATACCTTCAACCACTATTTGTAGCTTACACACGTTTCTCTATCGCACAATTCTTCGTATGATGTTCACAGCGAAAGGCGCGAGTGTTGCCCAAGGTGGCGAGACGTCCGATGTCCTTGAAGTGGTCTCGACGATCACATCGAGGTTCGTGATGGCGTCGCCGAGGATCTCTTCCAATCATTTCTTCTTTTCTAATCCTTCTAATGTACACCCGTTTAGGTACTACGTCTCGCGTTAGATCGCCGCACATTGCTTCGGATTGTTGTCTCTGAGAACTTGTAAGCGACGTCGTTCCAATCCAATCCATGGTGATTGGACATGACCCAGCTCTCGATTGTTCACTCCTCATAAGAAGATTTCAGGGCATTGATTCTTTAAAAATTCAATGAAGCAGCTTCCCGTTCTTCAACACTGCCACCTCTTTCACTATGAACTTTTCTTGAACAATAAGACCTTGTAGATCGACGAAGATCGGTATGTTTGACATCGTGTAAGAAATTTTGGAAAAAATAAACAGAACTGACACGGGCTTTCCAAGGCACTACTGTAATTCTGCGCGTCTAATGAACTATTATATATCCTCGACAATTTCCTCGTCCCTTTATCTAAACCAGAGTACGGTTAATCTTTTATCTAAACCAAAGTATGGTCATAAGTTCTCTGAATCACAATTTTTTGTTTCTATCTAGTTCTATCTGGTCAGAATATACACAGCATGAAAAATTTAAACAATTTGTAACCTTTTTACGCTCAAATTGTATCGCCGATAAATGCGATGCGATGCAAGTTTTGCACAAAATTTATGATAAAAATTTGCCCAGAGTGCGAATTAATATCTTAACATTTGTCACGAAATATTATTGTCATAAATATATTGTTATTTAATTGTCATTTTTTAGTCATTTTTAATGAATAAATAATGAAATAACATTCTCAGAGAACATTATGATGTCTTAAAGACGTCTAAAAGACATCTTAAATATTATAAGACATTTTATTAAATTATAAAAAAGATGTCTTATGACCCAATTTATGATGTCTTTGGAATATCTTAAAGATATCTTATTTTTCAATAAATGACATTTTTTAGACGTCTTTCAGACGTCTTATTTGAAATTTTTGGACATTCTATAATAATATAAAAATTAATTATACGGAAAGTATTGAGAGGAAGAATACAAGGCAGAATTTGGAATTACTTAATAAATTGGTATATCATTGATATAGTTACACAACTAATAGTTACACAACTTTAATTTATCTATTGTAATCAGAAATCAATTTTGTCATTAGAAATGTTGTGTAGATTAAATCATTGATGTATCAATTTATCAAGTAATTCCAACTTCTGTCTCGTATTCTTCCTCTTGTCAATACGTTTTCGAATAGTTTCATCTTAATTGCATTCTTGCATTATAGTAATATAAAATATTGGAGTACTAGATAAACTGACTGCCAATATTTTTATAGGTTACATTATATCGAAATTGGTCATGTCATTTATTCCAATCACTAAATATATAGTTGCTTCTCGATAAATGTCACAGTCGATAATGTAAATAACTATGTTTGGAACTGTCATTTAGAAACTTTTAGAGGTTATATTGATGACAGATTGAGGTTATAGAACATATGTCTTAGAAAAAATGTCTTTAAGACGTCAGAAAGACTTTTTGATATAACCTTAGTGTCGGTCCACAATAGGTGATTTAAGCTTTAAGAAGTAAGAAATTGACCAATTATAATCGAATATGAAAAGAATAATCGATTATGGTTGTTCAATTTCTTACAATTTAAAGATTAAATACTTGGGGATCGACAAACTGAAAGGATATTTTTCCTCAAGACATCTTTAAGTGTCGGTTCACAAATAAGTATTTTAATCTTTAAAGTCGTAAGAAATTGATCAATCATAGTCGATTATCTTTTCATACGGTAATAACTTCGTATAG